GGAACACAAGAAGGTCATCACCCGCATTACAGCCTACCAACAACAACTCATCTCCAACTACAATAAAAGAGCCAAGATCTTGCAGTTCCAACCTGAAGATCTAGTCCTAAGACAACCTTCATCACTGCTCGCAAAAAAGGCTCCAAAAAGATGGAACCCATCTGGGAAGGTCCATACAAGATCAATAGAGTAGGCGGCAAGGGTAGTTACACCCTCACCACCATGAACAACAAAGAGATTGAAAAGCAATGGGACGTCTACAATTTTAGGAATGCGTGACCTCCTGCTACATCAAAACCTGAAGACTTCAGCAGCTCAATGGGCACCACCTCACAAGTCGATGACTATCCAGTTGTTATGTAGTTCCTACCTTACAGCTAAGTTCTCATTCATTTCGCTCATTTTTTCAACGAGGAATTTAGAAGTTATTCATAACTTGGCTCGACTGCATGCTTACAACAACTGATCACTTCTGCACCCCCCTTTTTTAGGGACTTATCGCAGGAATTGCACCCATATAAGGACCAACTATGATAAGGTAAACTAATCCCTCGACACCTGCATGGGTCTGCTCTCCGATGAAAGAGGATCAACTATACACTCCAAATATCTAGATATGGATAAGTCGAGCTGCTTTGGTATAACTAGGTGAACAATGGCTTATGCCGAAATTCCTAGAAGTAGCCATAATGGTATTTTTCAAGGCTTTGCTAACTGAAGGATTTTAAGTCTCTTAGCCTAACCCGTGAGGAACCAGGTCTCAAAGACGAAGGCGACACATTATGCAATACGTTATATGGATGGTTGCCCTAGAACCCTAAAGCTACTATCGACTGCACTAAGGTAGCTTACAGTTTCCAGAAGCCAGCCTACGACTTGCCCTTCAAGCAGTAAGCGCTAAACTTATACAACTGCACACTTTTGTGAAAGGTTAAACAATTAGCGTGCTTATATGAAGCTCTATGCACTGCTGACATGTTATGTAATCGATAAGCTTCATCTCTGCCAAGCGCGGAATCATCGTTCAGATCAGTACTAATTCCAAAAATGTTGTGCTACTTGCTACGCAACCCACATAATTGATTACATAAAGAGCAAAGAGTTCGCTTGGACCTTTGCCTATGAAATTCCATAAAACCACGTACTTTTGATACAAAAGGTTAGCGAATTCCATACCCCATAAATCTTTAATATGTAGTGATGCAGGCCACATAGCTCAAAGGATTGAAGAAAGCCAAAGTTAACAGCCAAGTGGTCACGTAGACTTGTTTGCTTCTATAAGTAAAACGTCCAACTACCGACCCTCAACAGGTGAACCAGTCTCAGTAGCAAGAGGAATAGAACGTGGCGCCACTTTAGTAGCATAATTGCCTTATCACTCTTCATAGTAGCAAGTCTCTCCAAAGGTGAATCGAACATAGCTCCCAATAGACGTTGTTTGTACCATACTTAACCAATCCCGAAACTATTGAGCACCGGTCAACGTTATACCGTCAAGGACCTATAAGAGTTTCCCTCCAACCAGGAGGCCAATCACAGCGCGACACGTGTCGACATCAAAAGCCAATCATAGCCCAACACGTGTCAACATCAGAAGCTAATCATAACACGACACGTGTCAATGCAAAATGAAACTAGAAACTCTCTTCTATAAATAGAGATCATTCTCTCACAATATTTCCGAATGTCATTTGTACTAAATCATTCACTTGTACTCACTAAAGGAGAGCTTGAACCTATGTACTTGTGTAAACCCTTCACAATTAATGAGAACTCCTATACTCCATGGACGTAGCCAATTGGGTGAACCACGTACATCTTGTGTTTGCTTCCCTGTCTCTATCCATTTACATACTTATCCACACTAGTGACCGAAGCAATCTAGCGAAGGTCACAAACTTAACATTTTGTGTTGTACCAAAGTCCTCACTAATTTTGTGCATCAACAGACGTCTTGGCACAAACCTCAGCATTAGAGGCACAACAGAACCCCTACTCTAAGCAATCCTATCAGGAATCATACTAGTTATCTTCGGCATAGCAGGCATCACCGGCTCAGATCTAGCAGCCTCATCTTTCTTCCCCTTGGAATAAGTCAAGTCAATCACAAGCCTTTCAGCAGCAGACAGACCCTCACGAGCAATGGAGGAAGCATTCAAATTTTTCTCAACCAGCATCTTTTAAGCAGGCAGAGAAGATCTCTTCTTTCCATATTCATTCACAGCAAGCTCCACAACAACGATTGGATGATCCAATGCATCTGCCTTGATCTGCTTTATCTCCTCTCTCGAGGGTAGCCCACCTTTCTCCAGCGAAGATACCTAAGCAGCCAACGCCATTCACGATACTCAGTGGGGATACCTAAAGCAACATGCACTTTCTTCATATCTGGAGAAGTCTTGGGAGTTAAGCCAAATTCTGAATCTACATAGATAATGGAAGACAATTAATAAATTAAGACAAGAGCTTAACAAAAGCACAAAGCAGCCTAAAGACCAAGCAGTCTAGTTACCAGTGATGAAAATCATTGAAACACGTAGCTCAGGGGAAGAATCAGACTCCCACTCTCCACTTATCTCCAAAGTCTCCTTGGCCTAGTCATGATCTCCCTTGCTCAAATTATCAAAAAGCCTATGGCGGGATTGTAGCTGCCCAACTCCATCAATACGGCCTATGCCAAAAAAGTACCATAAATCATTGACAGTTAGATCCAAGTTAAAAAATTGGCTCAGATTGAGGAATCCCACCGTACCCGGACCACATTTAGAGAACACTGAACGGAGGCACACTTCATGGAGCAAAGCACTTCTTGGAAGAAACGTGGCATGGGAAAAGTAAATCCCAACATGAAATAGTAAGGGTGAAACTTGATAGCTCTCTAAGCCCTCACTACACGGCTCACGACTACTCCCCTCCTTGACATGCTTCACATGCACGCAAGACGAAATGACGTGCCTATATGCTTCAACTAAATCTCTGAACGTGTCATTGGAACTAATTTTGAAGTGGGCAACTTTGAAGTAGCCTACCTTACTCAAAGACCCACCTTGACAATACAACAACGGCACACCATCATCACCCTTGTGACTTGAAGAAGACATGCTCGAAGAAATTGTACAAAGACACAAGGAATTGTTAGACGACTGCACACACATAAAAAATTAAAAAAAAACAGCGCACCAAGCCCCATGACCCAAGGACCAATCAGCCACAAGCCCAAGAACACAGGAGCCTAGTAGCCACGCCAGGCCCCATGGCCTAGTACCTTTCTCTCTCAGCCCAAAGGCCTCTTGGCCCAATTCATCTAGAAAAGGGGTAGGCGCCCCCGCGCCTCACACGCTCTTTCTTTGCATATAGGCCTGAGCCCAGCAAACTAGGAAGCCCACGCCTCCTAGACACCACCTCAGCAGGTTAGGCCCAAAGCCCAACCCATTGCTCACACGCCTGACCCGTGTTAGGCCTAGCCCAGCGCTGCAATCAGCTCAGCCCAAGTCGAGCTGCAGTAAGCCATCCATAACAACAATGTTGTGGCCTCTCCAAACACATCCTCGACCCCCGTCGAGACAAATTTCAAGCCCCAAGGCTCCAAAAAATTAAGAAGACAAGAATTAATTTATTTCCCTTTCCTAGAAGGATCTAATTTCCAATTAAAGTGAGAATCTACATCAAAATAGGAAACAATCTTATGTTTCCTAAAGCAAGGGAAGATCTTTACACCTAATGCCCTTTCTTGCGAGCAGCCCAACAGGTGTGGGGGCATTTGTGGAGCCAAAAATAATCAAGAAAATTATGGAGATGACACATGGACTTTTGGGTTAAAAGGACAAAATTACACACGAGGCACACCGGGATTCCCACACACATGCAATGGACAATAACGAATCAAATAAGGAAGAGTCAAAGGTGATCAAAATGGTATTTATTCAAATCCCTCTCATCACTCCTCATCAAATCCTTATTCAAAAGGTAACTCCTAAATTTCCTATTTAATTTAGGATTAATTGCCATGTTAATTGTAAGATATTATTTCACATAATATCTTGCAATTATTCACCCAATTACACCACATTTGGTTGGCCACTATTCTCCAAATAGGGTAAGCCACTCCCCTATAAATAGCCCTATTATCCCACTAAAAAGCTAAGTCATTTGCTACCCACAAACTCCTAAATACATTCTTTTCATAATTCTAACTTTGGCATTGGAGATTCTTCAACCAAAGCCCCCCCCATTCATCATGGGCGCGTGAGGCTTTTGGCCTTAATCTTAGGTGTTATTATTTTGCTGAAATTTTTGTCAAAATGGAGTTGATGAAGGCAAAGGGGGGGGGGGGGGGAGGCTGAGACATCAACAGGGAAGGAGGTTATGGGAGGGATCAAGAGGGAAGAAGGTTATGGGAGGTGCCGACGAAAAGGGTTTGAACGAGCTTCTAGGGACTCTTGAGTGGGATAGTCCCGTAGTTGGATGCAAGGAGATGCTTGGATTGATTGGAGAATGTGTATTGGAGGAGTATGAAGAAGCCCAAAGTTCCGATGATGAGGTTGTTATTTACACACTTGAGAGTGAGCATGTGGGAACGAAGAGGAAGGGCTAGTATACGAGGGGGACATCAAATACTGTGGGAATGAAATGGGGGGCGAAGAAGAAGACGAAAGTCGTTTGCCATACGACGTTGATTTTTTACGTCCCAAGGTGTGAAAAACTCCAAGACAGTGAGCCAAAGGAGAATGTTTTGCAAAAAGAACTGGTATTTAAAGCAATGGATATAAACTGTGTGGTTGAGGCGATCGAGTGTTTCCATCAATTCAAGAATGTGAAGGAGAATCAGAACAAGTAAGCACGAATTGAGGTTTGGATTTTATGCATTGAATATTATATTGATTAAACAACTAGAATGATGAGCCTTTTTTTTTTTTTTTGGTTACGTTGTTAGTACAATTGTTAGAGGTGCCTCTTGACAAGGAAGGGTGGCTATAAATCTCCTAAACTCTACCTTTCCCAATATCATTTCCCTCACATGCGTACTGCCTTTTTTTTTCTAAGTGGCAAATCCGTAAATAAATCAAAATACCACAATTCTACAATGTGAAAATCCTCCTCAACTGGGTCTAGACTCTAGACTATGGTAATGGGGAGCAGCAGCCGCCAAAGCAGCGGCAGCAATAGCAGGCGGGTGAGGGCGTTCAAGCGATGGATGAAGCAGGAAGGGATTGAATGCAGCGACGCCCTAGACTTGCGGAACGACGGAGCTACCGCCGGAGGAGTGGGAATCAGTGTCAGAGCCGTCGGCGACCTCAAGGAAGGGGACGTGGTGGCCAGAATACCAAAGCTGGCGTGCCTCACCATCAGAACCGCCGCCGCTGCTGCCGAACCTGAGGCTGCCGAGGCTTTGGAAAATGAGGAGGAGTTGGTCGGGCTGGCGGTGGCTCTGATGTACGAGAGGAGCCTGGGGGAGCGCTCCCGGTGGGCCCCGTACCTGGAGCTGTTGAGCGAAGAAGAGGCGGCGGCGTTGCCGTTGGTTTGGAGTGCCCAAGAGGTGGAGCGTCTACTGCAAGGGACAGAGCTGGAGGCGGCGACGGTCAAGGCAGAGAGGTCTGATATGAGGAAGCAGTGGAAGGAGAGCGTTGAGCCCTTGCTGCTCATGCTTCTTAATTCCAATTCCTCCAATTCATTCCAATTCCAGGACTACTTAGTAGCAAGGACATTCATTTCTTCTCGGTCTTTTCGGATTGATGATTACCACGGAATCGGAATGGTTCCTTTGGCTGACCTGTATGTGAACTGTAATTTCATACATTTCGATTCGATTCAATTCTTATTTCAGTACAATTCAATTCCATTCCTTTCCATTCCATTCCATTCAGGTTTAATCACAAAACCGCAGCTGAGGATGTCCACTTGATGACCTCTCCTCAGAGTAGTCAATCTGACTCTGACACCCCCCAGCAAACCACAGAATCTGCTTCTGCTCCTTCTGATGCTTCCGGCGAGGAGGAGGAGGACGACGAGGACGAGGACGATGATGATTTGGAAATGACTATGGTGAAAGATGTCAAACTTGGAGCTGAGGTTTCCACTCTCTTACATTCATTGTTTCCTGTCTTTCTTGTAAACGCTCGATTCTAAGTTTCTGCTTTCATGTTTCCTAACTACACAACTCATTAAGTTATTTTCAGTGCTTAGCTTTCCCTTTTCTTTTCTTTTCTTCTCAGGTCTTCAATACATACGGGCCATTGGGTAACGCAGCCCTGCTTCACAGATACGGTTTTACAGAGCCTGATAATCCATATGACATTGTCAATATCGACTTGGAACTCATCCTCCGCTGGGGTTCCTCCTTCTCTGGCCAGCATCGTAGAGCAAGGGTATCCCTCTGGAGACGATTTCATTACTCTGGGTGTGTCACCCACGACTCTGAATATTTTGAGATTTCATTTCATGGACAACCCCAATTTGACATGTTGGTTTTATTGTACATAATGCTCTTAGCCGACGAAGAATACTATAAGTTGGATCTTGCTATTGCAACTGCTGGAGGAAGCTCCGATGAACCTATGCATGTCGACATCATTTTTCCAGACAAAAGCCAACAATTGCGCCACAATGCTGAAATGTTGACCGAGGAACTGTTGCTGACAAAATCTCTTTGTAATGCTCTTTCGTCCCTCGCAGATATGCGGGACAGCCTGTATGGTGCAAATTCATTAGAAGATGATATCAGAGCATTGGGTAGGTGTAGTTGCATAAGTGAGAAGAAGTTGTACCATTCTTTGGTGCTTCGTATCAGTGAGAGGAAGATCCTTCGGAAGCTTCAAATATATGCTGCTAATGCTAAAGAAGCCTCTTGGACGAACAAGTTGAAAAGAAAATGAATGTCTTGGCTTTCCTTTTCGCACTCCCTGTTTTCATGCACTGGCTACGAGTTCCTTGCCAAAGTGAAGGTATGGAAGTCACAATGCTGTCATGTTGCCATAAGAGTGATTATTTTTGCTGAAATGGAGACCATTATGAAGCAATTGGGGCAGTGCTTTCTCGTTTCCCCGCTAGAAAGCTCTAGCTGAATCCAGTTTTCTGGCATTTTTATAAACCATCGTTTTAAACTCTTGTCACGGAGAATAGGACTTGGCAGAGCATTGCTTCTTTTTCTTGTGTCCAAGTCCTCTCCGTTGATTGTGGGTCTGTACATGACTGTCGGAGTCATCTACAAATTTTGTAGTTACCACGGATTGCTTTCACTTCTTAATTAGAGCACTTATTTTCCTGTGCACTTTGAAAAGTCTCCAATATATATGTGTGTCTTTGGAGTTATTCATCTTTATAGTATTTGGATTCTTAGGTGTAGCATATTTTGTGATTGGAAAGGAAAGAAGTATGCATTATGACTGCTCGACGGAACTCTGAAATCCTGTAGCTTTAACGCCCTTCACCAGTCGTTTAACTGCAAGTACAGAGGCTATGCACTAAACTATAGATAAGAAAAACTGAATCTATAACATGATTCACAATTGACACATGCTAAGCTTGAAGATGGAGAAATTTCGAGCACGAGGTGTCGTCAAATTGAAATGTATCAGAAGTTTTACATTATCAAAGACATGAATGGTTCTGTAACAAGAAAAAGATATGAATGATTAAAACGAATGAGTTACTCTTTATTTAATGTAAATAATGTACAATGATGATATATAATAGAATTTGCTTTTAGATCTTCCAGGATGATACAGATCTTCGTGATTCATGAAAAAAAAAGACCTCACCAGATGAAACAAAAACCTGCCCGTCTCCATTTAACATGCTACCAAGTCTTGATTAAAAATCTCGCTTCCGACGATGACCAACGACTTAATCAAGCCGTTAACACACAGACGAACATAAACACATATCGCATCTGAATTGAGGTTCCGCCAGTCGGTCTGGTCTACTTATGACTTATGAGCCTTTATATGCGGGTAGAGTCCCAAAATGTGCTCCGGCATGAAGTCATGTCGCGTTAGAATTCCGACGATTGGAGGTCTCTGTCATCCCCATGCGCAAAGAAAAACATGACAAAGTTGTTTAGAGAAGCGTTTCAGGAATTCTTATGAATATTTTTGGAGCTGTTATTCAACTTCAGTTAGCGTTTGGACGAGGAACTTTCATGGTATCAGAGAATTTCAGACACAATTGTTAAAAATGCACTACAAGAACACTACCAATGAACCACACAAGCACTTCAAAACTACTACGAAAAAACTACAAATGAATCGCAATCTTAACACATTTATCCTAAGTTCCATGGAAATTTATGTCCCTCGTCCAAAAGCACAATCACAATCGCTTGTTTAACTTGAACAAGAGAGCAGAGAAAAAGAGACCATGGCAAAGGAGGAGAACAACTTACCCCTTGGCTCTTTGGTACCAAACATAGGTGTCTGAGACCGAGTTGCCGAAAGAGAATAGCAGCTTTGGCAAGTGACATTGTCTCAACAACTGTGTACGGAGATGCATTTGTAATAGGATGTAGATCAACATACATATCCATCTCCTCCTCTTCAATATCAAGATCCTCCACTTTGATTCCCTTTCCTGACCCTGCCTTTGCGAAATTAAATGCGGCAAATCTCCCTAGGATCTCTTCTTCACAAACAACCCTTTCCCTCGAAAAAACCTTACCCTTGAGCAAAATAAGCAAATGAGACCTTAAAACAAGACCGCACAACTCTGGAGCATCCGAAAAAGGCGGTTCATCAATCACCGGAAATCCATTGTGCCCCGTAGTCCTCAAAGCATCCAATATACGCCCTACCTTCTCAATCCCAGAAAAAGTAACCAATGGTCCAGTAGCAACATCAGCTGTGACCAATTGCCTCATGTAAGGTTCTGCATGAGCCTCCAAATAAGGCAGTCCCTTTATTTTGACTATCTGGTCGTAAATTCCCTTGTTGAAGTTATCAGCCACAGTTTTTGAAATAAGGAGAACCAACATCACAAGGGGAAGCAACAGTAAGTCATTCGTGAGTTCAAGCAGTATAATGCAGAGTGAGACTGTCATTCTCATAGTGCCACCCAGGAAGGAGGCAGCTCCTAGTAGAGCAAATAGACCTGTGTCTAGAGTAGAGATTGATTCAAACAACCTCCCAACAAGACGTCCATAGCAAGCTCCAGCTAATATGACAGGGATAAAGAGCCCAGAAGGAATAGCAATGCCATAAGTGATAATTCCGAGGCAGTAAATGGCGGCAAAGAAGATGAAAAGTGAGGAAATGTGAAATTCTTTTTTTGTACTGGTGCTGAATAGATTACGAATGGCATCATCATTGGTGTTTAGAAAGAGGGAGGCGAGGTCATTATAATAGCCCGAGGGGCAATTGAAACTTTTATAGTTACCAGATTTGCCAACAGTAGGACAACTCACACTCTCGTCAGTAGGGCATGGTTGGCACTCTGCAAACCATGGCAAGCCATAAGAAAGACATGATGTCAAGAGGGCAATGGTGATAACGAGTAAGATTTTGGGAGCAGCACCCTTTCTGCAACAAAAGGAAAACCAGATAAATTAGGAGAAAAACAAAAAAACCTGATTAAAGGCGACAAATCCATAGTGAGAGCAAGAACCGAATCAGAATTGTAATCATGTCACCAACAAATTCAGAGGTGGTTATTTTATAGGTAAAGTCACAAATCTTAGTAGTCACGATTGGGTAAGAGAACATACTCATGAATGATGCTATAAGTTCGGATGACCTTGTTCACGAAATAGTTATATATGCTTCCAAGAATACCTCCAACAGTTCCTAGGAATAACACTGCTAGTATATCGGGGCCACTATATGTTGCACCGGCTGCACTGACATCATACATGATCAGACCTCCTTCCCCAAATAACCCACAATTTCCTGTAGTACAATATTGTATAAAGCCTCTCAAAACTATTGCAACAACTGCTGTTGTGAAAAATGTCCTCCAAAGCAGAGCACTCCGCCACCTGAAGTTTTCCAGGTAAAGATAACAGATATTCTCAGGACCTATTATGTTACACGTTACAAGAGTTGCATTTTTTCTGTTTTCACAGTGACAGAAGAAAGAAAATGCAAGTTCATTTTTTAAGACCATTTTCATAATTTATAGCATAATACTTCAACCACTTATGTCGTAAATATATCATCTTGCAGCACAAGATGACCAACTAACTCAACAGTCTAAACTACAGGGCAGAGATCAATAATGACCGCTAATATACTATCATATTAAAGGAACAAGATATATGTTTACTATTGTTTCCTTGATTGTACATATAAATATAATTTTACCATAACTATCTCACATTGTTCCAGTTCTTTCTTAAGTTTCTCTGATCTTTTCTCTACTTCTCTTGTTCTCGATTTCTTTGATGCTCAAATGGCCAAACTCATTATTCTTATAAGAGAGGGAGAGTGAGTGAGTGAGAAAGATGTACCACGAAGCTGCTTCCTCAAGAGCAAACAGAACACCACCAACTGGGGCACGAAATGCAGCAGCCACACCAGCAGCAGCACCACATGTGATCAAGTCTCTTCGGTCGCAATCATTCTTGAAGTATCTTAGCCATGACCAAGTTAAATGATACTTGCGAGAGCCCCCCTGCCCAAGGAAAGAGGCTATGCAAGCACCCGTATGAACCATGGGCCCTTCTTTACCAACCACGAATCCGGCTGACACCCCAAGAATGGAACCAAAAATCTGCAAAATCCATAATGATAGGCATAAACTAAAGAAACCATGGTTCAATTTAAAACGCAAGTTCTAAACAAAGCAAGGGTACACAGACTCTGCAGTGGAGCGTAAAAATTTTACACCTTGACAAAGAGAGTGCTTGGAGCGAGTATTGAATGTGCATCGACACCATTTAGATAAGCTTTAACCTCAGGAATGCCGGAACCTGCTGCGGCAGGAGCAATAAAAGCACAAAGAGCTGCTGCAGCTGCTGCTAGAGCTACATTGATGGCAGCATATGCCGCAAAAGCCTTGTAATATCTGCACAGAAATCATATCTCAGTTTCATGTTCATATAACACTAGAACCAGGGCCCTTCCTGAATTTTTGGTGGCCCGGGGCGAAAAACTAAAATGGTGATTTTTCTATACGCCACTTTTGTTGGTTTTTTTTTGAGTAAAATAAATATATAAGAAGACATTCATTGACATGGGAAATGGGAAATGTGAACGTACTTTTTGTCAGACATGAGAGCTGTGGTCAGAAGAAGCTTGAATCCAGCTATATTCTCAACTGCAATATTATTGAAGAAGCCAACGAGGCCAGTAACGATCCCGATGAGAAGCGCAAAAGCCCACTTGAGCACAACATACTGAAATACTTGCACCTTCTTAGCTGACCTCCAGTCCTGCCTGAATATTTCATTCTCAAACATCCTGCAATTGTAAATGTTCAATTCATTCATTCATTGAAATCGAAATCGAGGAAATCGAAATGGAAAGAAGGCAGGGTTGGGTTGGGTTTGGTTTGGCTTGCTTACTCGTAGTCAAGGCTTTCGATGGAGCAGAGATTGGAACCGACAATGGCAATCTGAGAAGTAGTGTTCTTCCTCTTGCTAAGAAGTGGTTGGCTACATGTCCTCCTCCTTCCATCCAACAAATCCAAATTCTCAATGTCGCCACCATCGTCACTCACCAAGCTGCTGCTACTGCTGCTGCTGCTTCCATTTTCTTCATTCATCATCTTATGAAATATTACACGGAGTGATTCCTTTGCTGCTGCCTGCGATTCCAGCCCAGAACAAACTAGTTGCTTCAGTTGTTGTCTCAGGTAAGGACTAAGGTCAACGACTCAATCAGATCGATCCGAGACAGAGGAAGAGCAGAGAGAGAGAGAGAAATACTTTTTTATTTCTGTTTGTTTGTGGTCTGCCACGTACTTGTTTCCACTTGTCAATGTCATATAATGGCAAGAAAAGGAAAACATGTTAAAGTGATCCAAAGCAAAGGAAGACATCATAAATGGTTCTTGAAATTAACCAAACTTATCAAGATGGTTTTTAAATTAAAAATTCATCAATATGGTCTCTAAAATTGGGTATCACATATCAATGTGGTCCATCCGTGGCAGGCACATGATTGAGTTCCACAAGTCTAATTAATATTGTCATGTGGATTAAAAATACTTAAAATAATAAAAAAACAATTTTAATCTTTGAACAATTAAAAAACTTAAAAAAAAAAAGAAAAAAAAAAGAGCTTCTTCTCCTAGCCAAGGAAGCTACACCCTTCCGCTTCCGCTCCGAATCGAGAAACACCTACCTAATATCCATAAGCCCCAAAGCACCCAATATCGTCTCCACCCACACTATGAAGCAACACAACCCCAAAATTCAAAAATTAAATCGAAAATATAATAAAACAAATTAGAAAGTGTGACATTACAGAAGAAAAAGCAGATTAATGGAGAAATTACCGTTGGAATGCGCAGCCCAACCTCTGTCCTGAGCTATGTCTATGTCGCTGATGATCAGAGGATACTTGGGCTCCAGCTTATGCAAGTCGAACTCGTGCCCGACCTGAAAAGGCAAGAGATAGGACGGAGTGGCGGGAGTTGGAGCTTGGTCGACCTCGAATGTTGTGCTCGCAGAGGCGCAAGCCACGGGTTTGCTCGGATGATTACTCGGATGGGAGGGAAGAAGATGATGAACAATCATTTTTTTTTCTTTCGTTTTTTTAAAGTTTTTAATTATATAAATTAATTTTTTATTATTAAAATATTTTATAATCCACGTGGAAATATTAACTAAACTTGTAGGACCCAGTCATGTGCCACATCAGCATATAACAGATTTTTTTGACGGAATTGTGATGGAAGGACCGCATTGATTTGCGATACCTAATTTTATGGACTACATTGATGGATTTTTAATTTCAGGGACCAGCTTGATGAGTTGGGTCAATTTCAGGGACCATTTGTGATAAAAACCCATGGAAGAATAATGATACGTTTAAGGAATTGCTTAGATGAATCACTTTCAAGGATAGGATAGTACAATTACTATAGGCTAAAAATATATTATATTTCTTCCTAGGGAACTTTAACGAAAAACACCCGGTACTGTTCACTTTAACGAAAAACCACATTTTTACACTAAAAAGTCAATCCTGGTACTATTCACTTTACCCTATATTTTGTCCTTATTATTAAAACTCAAAGTTTTCAAACCCTTTTCATTAGTTTTCCTTTCTTTCTAAGGTACGAAATTACTACACAGTAAAACATGTTTTATGTATATGTGCTTTTGTTTAGTGACTGTCACATCCCGGCTCGGATCCCCATCATCCTGGGCTCGACTCCACCGTAGCACGATATTGTCCGCTTTGGGCCCCGGCTACGCCCTCACAGTTTTGTTTTTGGGAACTCACACAAAAACTTCCTAGTGAGCCATCCATTCTGGGAACGCTCTCGCGTGAACTCGCTTAACTTCAGAGTTACGATGGAACCCGAAGCCAGTGAGTTCCCAAAATGCCTCGTGCTAGGTAGAGATGAGAATATACATATAAGACTTACAGTATCTGCTCCACTGGGCAATGTGTGATGTTATAATCCATCCCCCCTTAAGGGCTTGACGTCCTCATCGGCACACATGCGACCAGGGATTGACTCTGATACCAAATTGTCACATCCCGGCCCGGGCCCCCACCACATCCCAAGCTCGACTCCACCGTAGCAAAATATTGTCCGGTTTGGGCCCCAGCCACGCCATCACGGTTTTGTTTTTGGGAACTCACACGAGAACTTCCCAGTGGGTCACCCATCCTGGGAATGCTCTCGCACGAACTCGCTTAACTTTAAAGTTCCGATGGAACCCGAAGCTAATGAGCTCCCAAAAGGCCTCGTGCTAGATAGAGATGAGAATATACATATAAGGCTTATATGATCCACTCCCCTAGGCAATGTGGGATGTTACAGTGACAGAGTCAGAAATCAGTTTCATAATAGGCCTTTTTAACATATAAAATAAATTAAACCAAATAGCAATCTAATTAGTTAGAGAAATATTTAAGGTTTCTTTTTTTATTGGCATGGATTCATCAAACAAGAGTGATGGGGCGTTAAACTTTTTATGGAAAATTTAGTATTGAGATGAATATATCATAAGAACATAACTTGTTTATGAGCTTTAATAAAAAAGAAAGATTCGAACAAAAAATTGATATTCCTTTCAACATAATTGAATCTTCTTCTAAATTGAATAAACCTTGTTTTATATCAATTGAACAAAAAAGAATTAGTTTTATATGATAAAACTGAAGGCTAATTGCAAAGGGGTTTAATTTGGCAAAAAAAAAAAGCAAAAAAAAGAGAGGGGGTTTAGTGGGTTTCGTTTGAAAACAAGAAAACAAAGAAACAAAAAAAAAAAAAAAACAAAAAAAAAAAAAAAAACAAAAACAAAAACAAAAAAACGAATTCGAACTCGTGGCCTCATTGACATGTCAAACTCTAGTTGCAAATGCGCTACAAGCTATTTATTATTAACATTTGCAAGCAAACCTTATATATTCATGAACTTTGAGGATGGGCCTAATAGCCTCCATTTGGCCCTACCACTATTTTTGTTGTTCTTACTTAAGGATTTGGATCCTTGCCATATCCCCTCCCTGAGGATCCTAGGGATCAACGAACACAGACCGTTGATTAAAAATTGTGTGGTCCCAATTAAATTCTTTTTATATTTTTAAAAGTAAAACAACATCGTTTTGCGTGAAAAATATAAAAAAGATAAAAATTGTGGCCGCACAATTTTTTATCAACGGTCCGTGTTCGTTGATCCTTAGGATCCCCAGGGAGGGGATCTAGCGAGGATCCAAATCCATTACTTAAAAGCAACAAAAATAAGTACCGTGATACATATGAATTATATATCAAAGAAAACCCACATAGGCTGAAAGTTTAACTAAAGACCAAGACAACGATATAGTTAGTAATGTGCTAGAAGATTCTAATAGAAATTATTAAATCTGTTGATGCACAAAATCAGCGAGGATTTTGGTACAACAGAAAATGTTGAGTTTGTGACCTTCGCTAGATTGCTCCGGTCACTAGTGTAGATAAGTAAGTAAATGGATAGGGACAGGGAAGCAAACACAAGATGTACATGGTTCACCCAGATTGGCTACGTCCCCAGAGTAGAGGAGTTCTCATTAATTGTGAAGGGTTACACAAGTACATAGGTTCAAGCTCTCATTTAGTGAGTACTAGTGAATGATGCAGTACAAATGACATTAGGAAATATTGTGAGAGAATGTTCTCTATTTATAGAAGAGAGTTTCTAGTTTCATTCTGACATTGACACATGTCGTGTTGTGATTGGCTTCTGATGTTGACACGTGTCGCGCTATGATTGGCTTCTGATGTCGACACGTGTCACGCTGTGATTGGCCTCCTGGTTGTAGGGAAACTCTTCTGGTTCCTTGATGGTATAACGATGACCGGTGCTCAGTAGTTTCGGGATTGGTCAAGTATGGTACAAACAGTGCTCCCCTAAGTTCCCGAGTAAGGGAAGCTCCTCGGTTGGGGACTTGCAAGATCCAAGCCATTGAGTAATCACGAAACTTCTAAGTACCGAAGTGTGGTATCATTTTCACTTGCCTTATTTGTCTCATACGTAGATGTGGCATCTTCTCTAGAAATACTTTTCCTCTATCCAGGGGTGGTATCTTTAACCGATGAAGATGCACAAGGTAATGTATCAATTTTACTTGAAGCTTACTTGTAGTTTTGGGCTTGGTCAAGTGCGATACAAAACCCTATAGTAGGAGTCCCCCAAGTTGCCGAGCTAGGAGATTTACCGAAAGATGTGACAGACAAGGTAAGCAATCAGACTTCCAAGCAAGCAACCTGGATTGGAGGTTCGACTTCGGCTTCCGGTTGATTGTTCTCCTTCTCCTTGTGTCGTAAACAGCAACAAGGATAAGGAGAAGCAAATGGAGAAGAGATGATATGAGATACTTTTGCTTTTGAAGAAGTAACTTTCTACAGGCTTATTATTGAACTGGGCTGAAGGGTTTTCTGGTTTCCTCTAGAGTATAAGGCCGACTCAATAATTTGAGGGTCAAAACAAGTCCATCAAATCAAGAGTGCGTTCAACCTTGATGATATGGGATACTTTTGTTGTTGATAAAGTAATAGATGAATCGGCATGTGTTCTGTTGCGCTTGTCTCCACATGCTTCCTTGTATCCTTCTCACTTGCCCTATCTGTTCCTCAGGCAAATGTGGTATCTTTTCTGAAAGCATAAGATGTTGAAGATGAGTACTCGAGAGCAATGCCAGGTAAGTAAGTGGGCAAGGGGTTCCAGGCAGTTAGTTCCTGACTGAAAGCTTAATTCCAAGTGTTGACTAATTGCTTTCTTTCTCCTTGTCTTGCAGGTAAGAACAAGGGCAAATGGAAAGACAAGGAAAAAGCATAATATGGGATACTCTTGCTTTTGACCCTGATGATATGAGACTCTTGCTCTGGTGTGGCTGGTTTGCATAGTTATTATTGGGGGGAAGAAAGCTGAGTATTTCGAGAGGCTTCGTTGGGAGTGTCTTCTCAGATATGAGGAAAGGTTGAGCATTTTTGCAAGTCTGCCTGTCCGTGGAGGATAGAGGTCAACATATATAGGAGTCTCCCTAACAACAAGTAGTAATGCTATTCTTTTACCCTTCTTGGTCGTAGCAATGTAGTGGGAGCTGCAAGCTTTACGTGTTTTAACTTTGTCAGAGCACTTTGAAAAAGTGGTATGTGGTATCTGGAAAGCTGATGTTGCGTGCGAAGATTGCAGACAAGCTTTATCCAAGGAAATCTGGCTCTCGAAGTTCGGAGAGCGGTGCCTCTTCTGTTTTTTAACAAGCAATCCTGTCGGGGATCTGGCTCTCGAGATTCAGAG